TACAGCAGATGTAGAACTGAACATAACAGACCCACCTTACGCAAACTCCAAAGAGAGGTCAAAATGCAAGTAGCGCAATACAAGACAGACAGTTGGGACCCTGCTCTTAGACCTAGAACCTTCCAGCACCGCCTTTTGGAGGTTGGCTCGACCTCTGAAAACAGTCCCAAATAAACAATGCTCCCTCTTATAGATCTATTTTATTTGTTTACAAAATGAATTAAAAACCACATGCTATTTGCGGCGTTGTTTTATTGGTTTCAATATAATTCGTTATCCAAACAAATGCATTTATTGTCAGGAGCATTTAATGTACAATAAAATTGTCCTGTACAGTATAAAAATCGGACTAATAGTTTAGAAGACATCGCGAACATAAACAATAAGGGGTAACATCAAAGCTCACAAACAACCGGGCTTAGAAATTTGGAATCTTGAATAGAGATTTTTGTTACTGTGTAAAGTTAATAAGGGGCGAACGTACATTTTGTACCTTATAAATTCCACGCGGACGAAGTCGCGGGCAACAGCTAGTTTCTAATAAAGTGATAAAGTGACGTAGTCAAGCCTTGTAAAATTTCCGACGCAAATATTTGGAGTTAGAATAATTTTATGAAAAAAGTGGTCTTAGTTAAATTTATGTGTGCACGTGTATGGACTTAATGATTTTACAAAAAGTGAACAGACGGGGAACCTATGCCCGATTTTATTTGCTCTGTAAACGTTACAAACACTTGTAAAATTTTCGAGCCTGTTGTATTAACTTAGAAAAATTCATAATTTCAAACACTTGCAAAACTTTTGCTCTGTTATTAACTCAGAGGCATAGACATCTAACGCTAATGAAAACTATATTGCTGTCACTCCACATTTTATTAATTCAAACACTGAAATACAGTCTGTTTTACTAGGCTGTATTAATTATGATCAGAGCCATACAAGTGAAAATTTAGTTGCCTTCTCACGACAGATGATGCAGGATTGGGAGATAACAATTAAAGTGACATGCATTGTTCGTGACAATGCAGCTAACATCCAAGCTGCTATAAGGCTAGGTGAATGGCGGCCAGTGGGTTATTTCGCCCATACATTAAATTTGATTGTGCGGAACAAACAGCCTTTAAGGAATATCTGATATTACAGGTAATGTGAAATCCATAGTAGGATATTTAAAAAAAAATGTATTGCACAAACAAAGTTCGAATCTACACTAAAATAAATGGGTTTACCATTGTTAAAACTGAAACAAGAATGTCCAACGCGTTGGTACTCATGTTACATGATGATAGTAAGAATTTTAAAATTAAAGGATGCTGTGATAAGCACTTTGGCACTTACAAGAAATGAGCTCAATCTTAAAAGTTCACTTTGGGAAGTGAATGAAACTCTAGTAAAATTTTTAAAATGACAGTAGAAATCAGCAGCGAAAAACATGTTACTCTCTCAAAGGTATTAGTTCATACAAAACTATTATCAAAAAATGTTATTAAAAAACCTCTCCAAAATCCATAAGCACCCAGTGATACCTGATTTATTAAACAAATTAAATACACAAATAGAAACGAGACTGTTTGATCTCGAGTCGAACATTTTATACGCCGATTCTACGATGCTTAACCCAAGATTTAAACAAAAAGGGTTTCGCGCCCTTACAAGTTATGAAAAAGCAATTGCTGATTTAAGGCGCAGGATTAGGCGTATACGAAAAAATTCCGCTGCCATTGAAAATCAGGAATATGTTAATGCAAGTTCTGATAATGAAGATTAACACGGTGTGTGGGATGATTTTGATACATATATGAATCAAGTGGTTCGCCCAGAGAATTGAAATGCTGCTAGTATAAGAGAGCTTGACAAATACCTGAAAGAGGAATACCTACACCGAAAGGAAGTTCCCTTGAAGTGGTGGCACAAACACAAATGCAGTTATCCACATTTATTTCAGTAGGTTTTGAAAAGGTTGTGCATTTAAGCAACATCGAGCCCTGTGAACGCATATTTTCTGCGACAGGCCAAGTAATAACAAATAGACGAAAACTATTATTAAAAAATCTACTGAACTATTTTAGATAAAAATACCTGGAATTTAGATTTTTATACTAATTATGTATAATTTTTAGTTGAATTTGTGAATAGTTCGTTTAACTATTAAGTTTTTTAAATTTTATATACAATGTCGATAAGGAAACAATTTATAAAATGTGAAAATTGTAGTTTTCGGTCCTTTAATAAAATAGGACAAAAGGGAGATTTTATGGCGCAATTCCCATTACAGTATTTTCAGTATTTAAATTGGAGTAATAGCTTAGAAGATATCGCGACCACAAACAAAACCGAAAATTCAGCTCAAAAACTACTGGGCTTAGAAATTTGAAAAAGAAGATTTCTGTTATTGTGTAGTTGTGTACTACTAAGTTAATATGTGCTAAATAAGAAGCTGTAGGTGTTTTAGGCTTCCTTCAAATTTGTCCTTCTAAGGTTGAAAAGGTAGGACAGGTATTATAAGATTCGACCAATAGTAGTGAAAAAACTTAATAATTGCCTTGCTCAAGAGACTGAAACACGTTTTAGCATTGATGAAACGATGATAATCATCACTACAGAAATAACACATAAGGTTATACGTAAAATTTTCTATCACAATATATTAGGCTTCAATTAAAACATTTCAAGATCGTCAGTTCAATATACATATTTCCAAACTAAAGAGGAGGAAAATGCAGAAGAAGGCACAAAAGTGCATCATTGTTGGGTACTAACATTTGCTTAGGAATTCAACCGCGTGAAATAAAAAAAAAATTAAAAGTCGCTCTGTACAACTTGTACATACAGCATCAAAGGGAAATTGGGCGTAAACGACAATCGACCAAAACACGGCCGTTTCGTCCAGCTGAACTGTAAACCTATTCAACTCAAGGAAAGCGTGATAGTAAACGCAGTTTACACATTACAGATTTCCCATGAATATATGGGTGATCAAGACAAACGCCACGTGAAGCGGAGTCATTCAGTCATCGGGGAAGAATTCGATAACGCGAAAGTATGGATAGAAATGAACGAGAACGGACTACACCGATGCCTGTTTTGCCCTACACGACTGGATGAGACTGGTAGCAGAAAAAATAAAACTTTACAATCGTGGAAATACTTAGGGCACTAAAACATGCACGCGGGTTATCCGTTCTTAAACTGTATGGGCTTAGTAGCTTATGTAGCTTAGTGCAGACAGGTTTAAACTTTGATTGGAACAAAACCAACTTCTGTGGAAGATAAGTCTCCTTTCGACCTACGGTTTGGAACGACGCTG